AACTATCACATTGATATAAAATATACTTATGATATACGTTTTTGGTTCATAAAGTATATTATATTTTAGTATTATTAACTTAAGTTAATTTAGATTTTTTTATTCGATGATGAAACATATTAAAATGTTTATTTGCAGCCAAATAGTCGAAATAGTATTTTTTTTATTTCTACTATTTTTGCTGCAATAAACATTTTAAGAATATATATACGTGTATATATATGTATATATATATATATATATATATATATCTTGCCCTGATGTTCGTCGCAATACTCCTCCCAAAACGCGTTATATTAAATATTAAACGACCTATTTTTATAAAATTTTATAATCGCGATCACTTTGTCTGAAAATCGGCCAACATCTATTTCCCAAAACCCTACATGCTAAAGGTTTTTCAGCCTTAAGTTTTTTGATCAACTTTTTTTATTCAATTTTTTTATAATTTGTAATTATAACACACATACAGCCAGAAATTTAAATTTTGACTAATGTACGTTTATACAAAGTCAAAAAATAAACACTAAGCCCTAAAGTTTTTGCCTTTATTTTGTTAGTTGAGTTTTTTTTCTGAGTTTAAGCTTAAATTTTACTTAAATTTTTATCAAGGATGCCCAAAACAATTTCTTTTTTTTAATTTTGGGGTCAATTTTCTTTGTTTTAATTTTTTTAATACGTAATTGAAAATAAATGCAAATCAAAATTTGCACCGACCTACCATAAATATACCTATCTGAAAGCTGATCATACGTCCCTGTTCGGTCGGGACAGTCCCGGATTTTTCATCTTGTGTCCCGTTTTTTTTTATAATTTTCTGATCCTTCTAAATGTGAGGTGTAGTCCACCCCCTATTTTGTTTTGTAATTTTTGGACAGAATTTTTTTATAATATGGCATTACAAAATACATATAACCCAAATTTTTACTTTTATCACCAACCCCTATTTTTATAGCAGTTCAATCATTTTTTATCCGGCGTTATCTTTGAATATTTTGAACATAATTTTAGTTTCGATTTTTGAGTTTAAAGAAAAAGCTTGAATTTTTCTTTAAAATACAATTTATTATTATTAAGGGTTGTCCAATACTAATACTTTTTTAAATTTAGTCAACTTTTTTTATTTGAATTTTTCTAATTATTGGTATTGACAAAATACTTTTTACTTCAATGTACTATTTATTTTTATCAAGGGTTGTCCACCCCTAAAATTTTTAAATTGTTTTTGATCAACTTTCTTTATTTCAATTTTCTGTAATTTGAAATTGAAAAATACATAGAACTTTCTTGACTTCGAAAAAACTATTTATTTTTATCGAGGGTTGTCCACCCCTATTTTTTTAATTTTCGAATAATTTACTTATAGTTTTAATTTGGCCTTTATTTTACATAATTTTAGTTAAGATTTTTTTGAGTATTTGAAAATGGTTATATATTTTTTGTTAGCTGCTCCTTTCACTTGTGCACCACATTTGCAATCAGTTAGTTATTTTCGTACTAAAAATTTTATACTAAAAATATTATTTATGGCAAAACAACGTTTGCCGGGTCTATAATATAATATTATTCTTAGATCTTAGATCCTTAGATAGTGGTATATAATATCATCCTTAGATCAAATATATCAAAATCTTATTGAATATAAAAATGTACAAATTCAATTAAAATGAAATCAGTCTCAGATAAAGCTCGCTCTAACACTTACTATAGTAGAGGGCATATTAATATATTAATATGTCCCAGGAATATTTATATGAGGCATGTTTTTTCAGTGGATAAACCCACTGAAAACTTATACGTTCACTTATATACCACATACTTACACATTCACCATCAGTCAGTTATTTTTATACTAAAGATTTTCTAGAAATATTTTTTATGGCTAAACTACGTTTCCCGGGTCAGCTAGTATATATAATAATAATAATAATATAATAAATGGTAGTCTGCCCGAAGGCAGGTCCATGGTGTGAGAGACACCACAACAAATGATTTCCTTGCCCTTCATCCCATTACCACTATTCTCTATCCCCATTTTTTTTCATGTATTTTCCTTTCTAAACTTTTGTTTCCATTCTTCTTGATCATGCTTTGGCTTTCAGTTCTCTGTATTTTCTCTTCTCGCGTAAGTCGTCAATCATCTGCATTCTTCTTCTTCCCATTCCTTTTGTTCCTTCTATTTTACCCTTGACGGTGTCGTGTAAGAGAGTAATTAATCTTAGTATATAGATTTAACACTTTACTTCATTCCCTATCACTTTCAATGATAGAACTAATTTTCCTTTATTACCAAACTATTATTTAATTTAATTTAATTTAACTTTATTACTATTATTACATTTTTCAGGTGGCTATATTTATAAGAACTTGCGATGGTGACTGGACTTATACTGGGGTTACAGCTCGCGACCCAATTTGCTGCCATGATAACAAACCATTGCTGTGTCCAGGCCAGGCTTCTTATCCATCTGATCCAGAAGGATGTGATTTTGACGAGCCCACAGCATGCGATCTTCTTCATTAGAGGTGAATCATAAGTAGAAATTGAAAACTTGATGGTATTTCGGTACTTGATTCGAAAATCGTTGAAACATAATATATATCAACCACAAAGATTAGATATTTTGAGGAATTTTAATCCATGGAACACGGTTAAATATTCGGACAATGTTAGGAGATATTTTGCTAGAACCAAATCTTTGTAATGAGTCCTCACCGGTAAAAGAATTCGTGCTGTATAAATTTAAATTTCATAAATAACACATATTGCAATTCACTTCTGTTAATATAATATTTGGATTAATTCTGTTAATTAATTTGAATTAACTCTGTTAATCTGTCTGTTTGTGTCTTTTCCTCTATTAGTAAGGACAGCTCGTGTGCAAAGATTAGAGTTCTTAACAGAATATACTATAAATCGGTTTAATATGGCATAACATAACAGAAATCAGTATACATCGGAGTAAATGATGAATTCCTTTCAAATTTTTTATCTTGACTATTCTTTATAATTAAAATAAAACATGAAAATAAAAATCGAATCAAGTCCAAGGCGCATATACCATCACAAAACGACCAACGGCAAGCTAATTCCTGACTTTTCTCGTTCTCCTATATTTTAAATATATTATCCTTATATTATATATTGTATTTTAATCTATTAATCATAATCACTCTAGCTATATAATTAATTTTTAATCACTTTTTGAGAATTTAGTTCAATTATATTTATTAACATTAATTTTATCGCATAAAAATCGGTGCAACATAATTTGAGTTGTAGTTACCAAGAATTTTATTCAATTATTGATTGCAAGATTCTAATAACAGATATATTAAAATAGCTCTTGAAAGCTGTCATGCATATAATTTAGATTAGAATTATTCAGATATTATTAGCATTACTTCCTATTAGAATATTACTTTACTTTTATATATAAGCTTGTCTGTGGTCATCATTTTGAGTAAGTTTTGTAGTTTATTATCCTCACAGAGCCACTTTATAATAGTTTAAGTATTTTCTGGTTTTTACCACGAAAACTTACCGCAAGACCAATATGGGAAACAGTATTTGCACTTTAAGGTTTTCAAGCCATAAAATAGCAAAGTACCAATTTTTTTTTTCATGTGAATATTTCATATTTTACCTCGTATTGGGAAACTATTTTATGGCTTATAGAGATATATATTGATGAATAGTTTAATTTTTTATATTAATAATATAATACTATATAATATTATCGTAATTTAGATAACATGTACTTTATATTTAATCTATTTGCGCTTCATCTATGCACTAAATTTAATTGTCGTTAATAGTATCCTGAGACTGCAGTTTGATATGAAAATTTTATTAATTATATTTTAATTTTTGCTTGTTATGAATATCTATATTTCTAATTCGTTTGGACTGAGTAGAAATTAAATTAATTTTCAAACTTAGCTTTTTTAATTAAATTAGTTCATGTTTTTGTTATAAAATTTCGTGAAAGCTTAATTGTACTAAACTTTAGTCGAACAAAAGAAAAATTTTTCATTAAAAAAAAAATGTTTCATAAAATATATATTGCATAAGTATGAATTTGATATACATTATGAAGTATATATTTTCGAAATACACAATAATTTAAAAATAATGCAATAGAGGACCCCACAAAAAACTACAAATTCTAAATTCTAATGATAAAATATTGAATTTTCTCTAAATGTTCATTAAAATGCAATAGATTTAGCTACTTATTATTTACAAGAACATAAATTAGTCATTTGTTCACTTTTTATCTTTAAAAATTGCGATATTTAGATCTTACTCTGAATTAATCAAATTTATTGTTATGCTTGCATAAATGAAGTGCTTTTAGAACGCAGTATTAATAAATAATTAGACTTAATTACTAAATAAATAATAGCAATTGACCAATATATTATTAGATTTTGAAATTTAGTTTATATTTTTAATGCTTAGTATATTGAAACTTCCTAATTATAATGCTACAATCGCATCAATTTGTTAAACCATACTTAAATTTATCGGTATTTCTTTTTTTCTGATTAAATTTATAAATAAATTCGCGATAGCTTAATTGATCTTCTTTGGAAAAAAATCGACGATTCATACTTCTATAGCAAAATTTATCGGTATTTTTCTTCCTTGAATAAATTTCTAAATCAATTCGTGAAAGCTTAATTGGTCTAAACACAAGGTAAATTTTTCATTGTTTCATAAAATATATATTGCATAAGTATGAATTTGATATACATTATGAAGTATATATTTTCGAAGAGCACAATAATTTTAAAAAAATGCAATAGAAAACCCCACAAACATACCCTTTGGACGAACACAAGGTAAATTTTTCATTGTTTCATAAAATATATACTGCATAAGTATGAATTTGATATACATTATGAAGTATATATTTTCGAAATACACAATAAATAAAAAAGAATGCAATAGAAGATCCCACAAAAAACTACAAATTCTAAATTCTATTGGTAAAATATCGATTTTTCTCTAAATTCCAATTTCTCTAAAACTTTATCAATGTTTAAAGATTGTATTATTTTTATTTAATATTGTAATTATTGGCAGATTTCGTGAATGATTAATAATATTTTTTGTAAAAAAAACGGTACTTATCTGAAAATCAAAACGTTAATATTGAATTTAAATTTTTTTAATATTTACTTAACTTGGTAAGCAAAAATCACATACTTAAATAACTTTTTTTAAAAAAAAATAGAAATAAATTTATGATTTATACTCAGATTATAAACCCTGGTTTATAACAATTTTCAAAAATCCAACGCAAAATATTAATACTTGAGTTGTATTTCATATTGATACGGTTGTAGCAATTTTGTATAGAATCATTCGTCAATTTTCTAGTTCCTTACAAGAAGTATTCAACTGTGATTTCATTATTTTAAAAATACTTTCTATTAATGTTAAAAAATAATACAGTAACTATTATAATATATAGGATATAAATCACCAATAAGAGTCTGTAACAATTGCAGAAATGCGCGAAAATAAGCATTTTAGAAGCTAAAACCGATACTTTGCACGTTAAAAACTAATATACATATTAATAATTTATAGATATAAATATATAGTTAATACGAATTTTACACTATTTTTATAAGACAGGCAGCATCATATTTAAATAATAATTAAACTCATTAAACAGGTTATAAAACCAATCCAAAACTTTTTTACATAATAGATTAAAATCATTTTTGAAAACAATAATAATATACATATTATTAATGTTTTCAAAAATAATTGTATAAACAAATAATAATATATAATATGTATATTATTAATTGTATAAACAATTAATAATATACATATTATTTATTAATAAGCACCATCTTTAAATAATAATTAAACGATCATAAACTCATTAAACAGGTTATAAAACCAATCCAAAACTGAGATATATCATGTAAAATTATGTAAATAATTCCAAAAGCATAAATCCAAAAAGCTGTAAAAATATTTTTAGATTAGATTAATTAGTAAAAATAGAATTGACCCAAATTCATATTAAACTTATATTATATTATTACATCATTAGTTCGTAAGCTTTTTGTTATAATTATACGTCTAACGGGACTACTAGTTGTTAAATAATTCACGTCTTCTTATTAGATATTATTAATTAGTTATAATAAATAATTTAGCATTTAGGCCTCACCAATAATGCAATTGTTAAGTTAAAATTAAAAATAATATTTTTGCATGCAACGTTGCTCCTATTAAAATTTAATCACTATACTATATAAGTTTACTAATTTTTAGACATAATGGGCATAAATGTGTACTAACCCGTGGAATTTGAATTTTAGTTAGATTGAAAAGAGAACAGCGATTGTGATTTATGTAATACTTATATTTACTGACAAGATGATTGAAATTATGTAGTTTAGGCACTACTATTTTATTTTAAGAAATAGTTTTATTTTGAACAATTCCATAATCTCCTACAGTTGATGTTTGATAGTTCTTGATAGATTTTTTCTTATGAACTATTGTAATTGGCATTAAATTTATAATATTATTGATTTCCAAATTTTTCACAGTAGCTAAGAAATATTTGGTCTTCCATAGTTTAATTTAATTTAGTTCTATTGTAATTTCTATATAATTCATTTTCTTTATATATGTTAGGATAAATATACCATAATTGACATTATTCTTAATTTTAGATTATATATTGAAATTGTTATTAGATATTGAAGAAGCTATAAGATATTGTAATTAATAGTACATAGTTTATTAATCTTATATATAAGCCATTTATTTCAGTACTAACAATAAAACATTTAAAATATAAGTCCCTGTAGTGCTCCCTGCTAACAATGAAACACATTAGAGAAATCAAAACAATAGTTTATAGTTATTGCGAATTAATATATCTGTTATTAGAATAAGTAATCATATAATTGCAAAGTATTCTATATCAAAAAATTATCTATATCAGTTACTAAAACATCATAAGTAAAATTTTTTAACTGACGAATATATAGATATAATTATTTTTATGTAAGAAGATTATTAATGTTGTTTTTATAATTAGACTAAATTGCTTGCACTACTTATATAAAATGTAATTTGAAAACTTAGATACTTTTATGCATGCACAAAAATGTTAAAAAAATATAAAAAAATGTTAGATATGTAGAATAATAATTATAATCAATTTATAAAATAAAAATGAGCATCCCAAAAACGTAAAATTGTGTTTTGATTGCGCAGCTTAGATTAAGAAGTTTAATTTAAATTGTTTGAAATCTATGTGAGAATTTTTTTTTAAATCTTACTAAAACTTAGAATATAGTTAGGTCAACAAACGGACAATTAATACATAATTTAGTAAAGGTACATTTAAAAATTTATCTCTGGCCCATATCAATGTTAATTTGTACTTTACACTACGCTACGATCTTAATCAAATTTATTAATTTAAAGTAAATTTATAAATTAATTTATATATTTAATGTCATTTTTAAAATGACAGCTGCAAGCCAAATTATTTTTATTTTTTTATTATTTTTTTCTGATTTTATTGTTTTAAATTTTGTTGTACCATTTTGAATTCAAAATTATTCCGATATAGATTTATTTCTATTATATTTAATACTTTTGTTAGATTATATTCAATGTATGCAAATAATTAAACAAAAGAAATGCATTTTACATAATAGTTTCGTGAAAATGACATTTAAAAAATTCTTCAAAATTAAAAGTACACGCTCCACTGCATTTTGTAAAACTAAGTAGAAAATATTCATGAGTGAAAAAGCACATTTGAATCCTATCTGTTGGTAAAGTATAAAATATTCTTCTGTTTAGAATTGAACGACTAAATTAGAAAATTATTAGTAAAAACGGATAATATGAAAGATTTGGAAAGATTTAAAGTTGATTTGCAATAAGCTTTGAATGCGTATTACATGAAATTCTGTTTAAAATTTGTTAACTACACTAATTTACAAGGACTTGTGTATAAGTCATTTTATTAATAAAAGGTAATAGAAGAACTTAGTTTGTTGCTGAGCATGCTAAATCTATAAAAACTATTTTTTATTTCTTTATGGCAACATTAATATCAGTGGTGTTGTGGCAGGTCGTCCCGGTACTTCCTCTTAAGACAGGAACGGCCTAAGGTATATATATATACGCGTTCCGGTGAAATAATAGGACAACACCACTGATTATTATTAATGTAAATATTTTATTTCATTTTTATATTTTGATTTAAAACTAAAATGGTGTAAATAGGTCAGTTATTATGTTAATTTGAGTGCACCATGCAAGAGAAGTCATGTCATCCACTAGACGGGCGTCAATACCGTTCTACCCTTCCGCGGAGCATGAAGTCAAATTACAGGTATCACACTAAATTATATACATATATATATATATATATATATATATATATATATATATAAATATATATATTAAGGCGGGTCGATTTAAAAGTCACTTAGGCACATATGATTTTCTGATACTAAGGATCAAAATAAGATACTTTGCCGAAGAAACCATATATCTAATATGAATTCTGATGTCTCATGCATTGACCCAAAGATTAGGGTCAAATTTTGAAAAGGCCGGTTATGGCCCATTTAGATGACCCCAAATGTATACCGACCCCCACTAACTTTGAAAGGTCAATCCACCGATGTCTGTCGTTTACCTTCGGAGACCCTCCCTGAAAGGTCTCCCATATAAAAATTGCGATATGCCATTTTTTCTGATATTAATTCATACACACACACAAAACAACTTTTTCACCAAAAAAAATTCATTAAAATTTTTTGTTTCAATTTTTCCAATGCATTATGTCTCTGCGTTTCTATTCTAGCTAGAGGCTGTTATGTCGACGACATTAGAGAGCAATATTTTCCAGATTTGAAACCAAAAAAGACTTTAAGCAATAATTTAGTTTTACATAGTTTTATTTACGTATGTTATGATTAAATAAATTTTATAACAAAATAAATCGCCGATTTTTGTCATGTTAAAGTACCAAAAATGATGCAATTTTTGCATGGGAGACCACTAAGGGAAGTTCCCAGGGGGTAAAACATGGGCAAGGATAAATCGGGCTTCCCAAGTTAGTTTAGGTCGGTCATACATTTGGACGCGATTAGAGCACTCTAAATGGGTCAAAACAAAATTTTTCAAAATTCAACGTTTATCTTTGGGTCAATGAACGGGACATCAGAATTCATTTTAGAGGTATGGTTTTTTCAGCAAAAAATCTTATTTTGATCCCCAGAATCCAAAAATCATATGTGCCTAAGAGACTTTTTTACGCATACAATTCAACCCGTTCTAATTATATAATATATATTATATATATAATATATTTAACAGGTTGATGTGTGGTGGTTTGAACGTAACTTCTCGCAAGGTCGATACGGTCCAGATAATCGAGGAAGTAATGCGTGCACGCTTATTGCCTTGCTCTGCGCCAGGAAATGTGCTGCTGGCTGTATAAAGGTGATCCTTTTGAAATTTTAATTAAATCAATAATTTTTGAAAAAACAAATTCAGGAACCTTTAATAATACAACAGGGCACAACATTTTTTCTAGTAAATTTGATTTATGTATAACATATGCAAGATTATTAACTAATTTTTTATAGCTATACTTCAACATTTTAATAGATGTATGCAGATTGCAATTTAAACCCAGTACTAGTCCTTGCATTAGCAGAAGCAATATTGGAGGGAAACGACATACATCGAGAACTGCTGACTTCTGGTGCTATCACTCATGTAAATCTCACCATTCCAGAAGCTCTGGAAGGCGCTGCAGATTCTTTAGTTGGACTTACAGAATGGGTATAGAACTATGTATATTTTATTTTATACGATCATGAAATTGAATCTTATGTTATTTAAAAAAAATTAAGCATATAAATACAATCATATAACAAATATATAAGAGAAAAACATATAAGAAATTTTTTTCGAAATAATTTAGTGATGACTTGAGGTTATTTCCTATCCATAATAAAAAAAAAATCAAATTTTATATCTTTATCAGGTAAATCTGTTTAAAATAAAATTAAGCATGGTAAATTTATATAATAAGATTTCAAAACCAACATTTCTTTACTTTAGTGGAAGTTAACAATTGGATAAATTTTATGATTTTTTTACAGAAATCATTGATTTACTTATTGGATTTGGGCGATACTTTATATGACCAAATGAAAGCAGGCTTGCGCTCCTGGTGGGGAACATCATTGGGAAGAACGTTAGATTATGTGTTTGTGGTTCTCATATGTGACAATAGGTCGATATTATTTGTATTTCAAAGAACACTTGAAAAGGTATTAATGGCTTAATTTTTGGTCCTAGTATAATACAATAATAATTTTGATGTTATAGGCTACATTGATCGATTCACATAGACATCTAGATCATGGTTGTGTCATAGCACAAGTACCAATAATGAATTTACATCATTTATGTTTTTGGCATAAAAACATGTTAAAGCACTGTTACGGCTCTAAACCTGATTGCTATGAATTGTCATTCTTGTACATGAAACCAGGAAAATGCGCCAAAGGATCAAGTCGTATTGGCAATGCCTTCAAACATCACGAAGTGCAGGGAAATAAACAACTCCGCCAAAATAAGCTCAACCATAAATACAAATTTAGAAAAAAGTATAAAAGGCGATAAAAATTCTATGTTGAAATTGATTAATCATATTGTGTATTCACTCATGTGCTGTGCTGTCTTGTAATGTGATAATAGTTGAATTTTACAAATATATTTTTACAATTACTTATTACTTATATTTATTTATAACTTTTTTTCTACCTTTTTTAAAATCACGACTAAGATTAATTAAATTAGTTTACATATGGTTTACATTACTAGACTTTTATGATAGATATATTTATATGTGTAAAAATTATATATAATATCATATTATAATTAAAACTAACGATATATTGAAATGATCTTCAAACAGTTTTTTTGTTTCTTTCATGCTTACTTCCTACCGTTATGCTTATTTATCTATGCTTACTTCCTTACCCTATGTTTACTTATCTATGCTTTTTCTTCGGATCTAAAATTTCAACCGGGCTAATCTATTCGATTCGCTTATCTATGGACATGGATATAAACTCTCATCTGGTAACTCTCACTGTCTACAACATCCGCTGATTGAAGACATTCCGCCATTGCGTTTTCGGACCTTGAATAGATTATTTACTTTGGTGAGTTGTTTGGAAATCTTTATTTATAATAATAATCCTGTTTTTCCAGTTTTTGTTTTATTGCAAAAAATTCATAAAATTTTATTATTGTTTCAATTACTAGTGAATTATGGAATTTACTCTTTTTATTATGTACACGTTTTTGACATATTTCATTAACCTCTTTTCAGTCCTTAAATTTCAAAGAAGTCCCTACGCGCACCAAGATGGGTAGGGAGGACAAAGCCACCTGGAAGTCAAACTACTTTACTAAGCTCGTCGTAAGTAATACAAAGTGAATGCCAATAGTGAATCAATAATAATAATCAAGAAAAAATGACGATGTACATTATCTTTTACAGCAATTGTTGGATGAATACCCAAAATGTTTTATTGTGGGAGCCGACAATGTGGGTTCCAAGCAAATGCAACAAATTCGTATGTCTTTGCGTGGAAGCGCCGTTGTCCTTATGGGCAAAAACACCATGATGCGAAAAGCTATCAAAGGTCATGTTGAGAACAACCAGGCTCTTGAAAAGCTTCTTCCTCACATTCGCGGAAATGTAGGATTTGTATTTACTCGCGGAGATCTTGTTGATGTAAGTAATTATTTTAGCTTGAATTTGATATTAAGAAATTGATCTACGCCAAATTGATGTACGAATACTTAATAATAATTGAAAATTTGATTTTAGATTCGTGATAAATTGTTGGAAAACAAAGTGCGTGCTCCAGCTCGTGCTGGTGCCATTGCTCCATTGTCCGTTATTATTCCAGCTCAAAATACTGGTCTAGGACCCGAAAAGACATCTTTCTTCCAAGCTCTGTCCATCCCAACAAAAATTTCAAAAGGTAAATATTTTATATAAATAATCCTTTACATATAATAACAAATGATGTTACACTTTCCGTCTGAAAACGGACCTAGCTGAACTAGTGCTAGAGTATAGCAGAACCCTCTAGTTTATGGACCGTTACAGTTGAAAAATGCCTTGTGCTGTCTGAATGTCCAAATTATACTATAAATTTGCTGAATTGTTATTCATTGTTTACTAAAAATATTGCTTTTTCCAGGTACTATTGAAATCATCAATGATGTCCATATCTTAAAACCTGGTGATAAAGTTGGTGCTTCAGAAGCTACTTTGCTTAACATGTTGAACATTTCTCCCTTTTCATATGGTCTTTTGGTTGAACAGGTAAATATTGATAATTTGACATTTTATTCATGAAACTTTAAAATTGCTTATCAGTAAATTTGCAATTATAGTATATTGTCTTAATTTGTTTGCATTTTAATTATCTTTGTTTTACAGGTTTATGATTCTGGAACTATCTTTGCTCCTGAAATCTTAGACATCAAGCCTGAAGATTTGCGTGCCAAGTTCCAAGCTGGAGTTGCCAATTTGGCTTCAGTTTGTTTGTCTATTGGTTATCCAACTGTTGCTTCTGCTCCACACAGCTTGGCTAATGGTTTCAAGAACTTGTTGGCCATTGCAGCCACTACTGAAGTTGAATTCAAAGAAGCTACCACAATTAAGGAATACATTAAGGTAATTTATCTGAACATCGAATTACACATATTTACTATAAAATTTCTAACATAATTTTACACTACATGCCAGAATTGGCATGTAATGCCTGATATTTAATAAAATACTACAAAATGATGTTAAAACCTTGCCGAAGTTAATCAATGATGGCAACATGTTTCAAGACGGGACTGATACTTTTATATCATTATAGTATTGTGTATTTTTAAACTTTGTTTAATATGCAATTATTATTCTTGCAGGATCCCAGCAAGTTTGCTGCTGCTACTGCTGCCGCTCCAGCTGCTGCTGCTGCAGCACCTGCTGAATCCAAGAAAGAAGAAAAAGAAAGAGGAATCTGAGTCTGAAGATGATGACATGGGTTTCGGTCTCTTTGATTAAGAACTTGTTCCACAATATTAACATTTGGGAAATCCATATTTTATGAATATTTACATATTCAAGTCTGTTGTGATTATTATCTGTAAATACTTGTCTGAACTTGCGCAGTTCTGTGGCAATTTACAAGATTTTATTGTAAGCATAACTTTGTATAATAAAATATGGATGAGGATAAACTTGTGTTCTTTTATTTACAATAAAAACAATATATTCTACAGTACTTAAAATTATTTGTCAATATATTTCTTCATTATTTTTTTTTTATTCAATTATTAAATTCTCAATTATATCTTCATACAAAATTTTTAACAATATATTAAATTAAAACATAAATTGGTCTTCATAATTGTTTACTGTAATTTCTCAAAAAATATTTTTAGTGTTGCCATTTACATACAAGTGCTTTTGTCAAGAATCGTTCGTCTGTTGGCTTTCTCCCAATGTCTAATGACCATTAAATAATATTTGTGTAGGGCTATTCATCGAAGTGCAACGCAAATCTCATATTTTTTATGATTTTTGTAGTGCAAAGAACAAATTATTAGTGTTGTTGTGATGTTAATATAATATTGCCGTACCTTTTTAGGTTATGATAAAATTGCAGCATTTTTGTGCATATGTGCATGTTCATCGCATAATTTCAATGCAAATAACATTTTTAAATTAATATTCTGGCTTTAGTTGGTCACAAAAATGGTGAGTTTTTGCCTATTAATTATTATTTTTTGTTGCATTTTTTCTTTCATTGTGATTCTTATCTGTCACAATTTGTCTCTTACGCGTAATATATTATTTTTGCAACTTCTATATAATATATTCACATTTTTATTATTTCATACATATTATTTTACAATATTTATAAATATTTATTTTTAGCACAAACTGAAATCTTCACAACGGGACAAAGTTAAAAAATTTATACAGTTGACACAAACTAGTGAAAATACAGCTATTTATTGTCTTACACATAATGATTGGAAATTAGATATTGCCAGTGATAATTATTTTCAAAATCCAGATGCTTATTATAAAGAACCTAAAGTAGTTATAGATAGAAAAAAATTAGAAGCGTTATTTCAACGGTATCGGGACCCTATTGAAAATGACAAAATATCAGCAGATGGAATAATGAAATTTTTGGATGATTTATGTCTTAGTCCAGAATCTAAATTAGTTTTAATTATAGCTTGGAAATTTAAAGCAGAAACACAATGTGAATTCTCTAGGGATGAGTTCATAAACGGTATGATGGATTTGGGTGTTGACAGCATAGATAAATTAAAAGCAAAATTACCATTATTAGAAAATGAACTCAAAGATATAATGAAATTTAAAGAGTTCTATCATTTTACTTTTAATTATGCAAAAGACCCCGGACAAAAAGGCATTGATTTGGATATGGCAATAGCATATTGGAATATTGTATTAGCTGGTAGATTTAAATTCTTGGAATTATGGTGTAAATTTTTACAGGTATGTATGAAGATTAACTATAGTTTTTTTAAATCACATTCAGAATCATTTATTTAAAATTAGACAACTACATATTTCTACGATTTAAATTTTTTTTTGATAAATTTGAATATCGTACTGCACTCTCTTCAATATTAATGTAATTTAGTAACTTATCTAAATTTATTTTTATTTTACCTTTGAATTAATGTTGAATTATAAACTTGTACTTCAAAACAAATACTTTATTTCAGAAATAATCAGTTGAAAATTTATGTCTATTAACAAATGTATGAAATGATACATCATATTTCATCATAATAATATCTCAATTATTTATTCGTTAGGAACATCATAAACGCTCCATACCAAAAGACACTTGGAATTTGCTATTAGATTTTGCTTCACATATAGATGAAGATATGTCAAATTATGATGCAGAAGGTGCATGGCCGGTATTAATTGATGATTTTGTTGAATGGTGTTTGCAAACTAAAAGTGGTCGAGACCGAAATTGTGATCAAGAGAGCCTCTATAATAGCACCGGCCTTCTTATGGTAGCAGGTCATAAAAGTAGAGAAATGACCTTAGTAAAGATCATAAACCTTGCAATAATTTATTATTTCTTCGTTATTTTTATATTTAAATTATTATTTTTATAATGTTAGAATATTATATGTAAATAACATGAAGCTCTGTTTGTTTTTTATTTTAAAAAGATATACACTTTATTACGAACCTATCATTAAATCAGGGATTCAAAATTTATGTTGCATTTCAGTGGAATCACTTTACATAACACAATACTTTTTTTGGATATTTTGAAAATAGTTTTTAACCCATAAACAATATCATGCTTTGATTTTCAGACAGTTTTTTGGTCAAATTATCAAATAGCAAGGTGATGTATTTGTTATGATCCAATCCTATAAATCCCTCTTGAACAATTCAAGTCCTGTTTGTAGAATATATGTTATGTGGATAACATTTATGAATTGTATTTTTGATTTGAGAGAATTTATAACAATATATAAATATAAATCTTCTTTCCCAATAGTGATATGTGGCATTGTACATTTTAATGTTTTAG